CCCCGGCGGGGTGAGCACTGAAGAAAGCAAGCCGACGGGCTGGCTGGAACCGACAGGGACAGAGTGTCGGTGTTTCTAGCCCCCAGGGAGGAGGTGCCGGGAGCACCGGGGCATTGTGTGAAAGAAGCTGTTTGCATATCTTTGCATAGATATTTGCATGTCTATGCACCCACACTGAAGTTGCGGCTCTCGGCATGTGCTGTGAGTATCACTGTGGGCCCTGGGTTTTAGCCACTGGGAAGAGCAGATGCCCTGAGAGCGAGGCCGTTCCGGATGCAGATCCAGAAAACAGGGGCTGGAACTCACCCTCCATGGTTTGCTGAGATACAACATGGCAATTGCATGGTGTGTCATTACTGGGCTGGGACTCACAGAACACTGGGACTGGAAGGGACCTCGAGAGGTCACGGAGTTCAGTCCCCTGCCCCACGGCAGAACCCAGTACCATCTCGACCAGTGGTCTCCTACCTTTTTTAGCACAAGATCACTTTCTGAATTGACGTGCAATGTAAGATCTACCCCGCACCCAAACACCCTGGCCCTGCCTCCTTCCCGCCCCTTCTCTGAGGCCCCGCCCCCTGCTCTCTCCATCCTCCCTCCCCCATCCTCCCTCACTTTCACCAGGCAGGGGCAGAGGGTTGGGGTGCAGGCTCTGGTCTTGGATTAAGGGATTTGAAGTGAGAGGGGCTCTGAGCTGAGCTTGGGGCAGGCAGTTGGGGTGCCGGAGGGGGTTCTAGGTGCAGGCTCTGAGAGGGTGTTTGGATGCAGGGGGGCTCGGGGCGGGGTTTGAGGTACAGGAGGGGGTTCCTGGCTAAGGAGGCGTTCAGGATGTGGGCTCCAGCTGGGCACTGCTCACCTCAGGTGGCTCTTGGGTAGTGATGCAGTGGGGCTAAGGCAGACTCATCCCTGCCCGGGCCCTGCCCCACTCCCAAAGGCAGCCAGCAAACTCCCTCCCAAGTCCTGTTGTGCTCCTCACTCTGCTCTATGGAGATAGGATACAGAGTGGGAGAGGGGGCACCCTGACATCAGCGTCCTCTTTTCCCTCCCCTGCCCTGCCCAGCAAGCAGGAGGCTCCCAGGGATGGGAGGAGGCAGCTCTAAGGCAAAGGGCAGGCGATGCACAGCAGTGGGGGGAGGGGCAGCTGAAGTGCCAGCACTTGACAGCCTCTTGGCCAAACCAGTCAGGATCCCCTGTCAGAGGTGATCTACGAAGATCTACCAGTCGATCCCGATTGACTGGTTGGTGACCTCTGATCTAGGCCATCCCTGACAGGTGTCTGTTTAACCTGCTCTTAAATAACTCCAGCGATGGAGATTCTACAACCTCCCTAGGCAATTTATTCCGGGGGAGGAGAGGAGGAAAGAGAGGGGGAAGAGAGAAAGAGAGAGAGGAAGGAAGGAAGGGGAGGTTTTTTGATAGATGGTAGGAAAACCCCACAGACATAAAGAGTGCCCCTCAGCTACAAGGTGATTTTCAGGTAGACCATAGACCCCAAGTCTATCTGCCATGATCGCTCTGAGCTCCCAAACCCAGGCCCCCACTCCAGGTCTTGTAACCTGACCTCCGGGGTCGCAGTGCCACTCTGCCTTGTCACATCCACCCCTGCGCAGATGGAGACGAGGGTGAAGGGCCCGGCTCGCTGAACATTGACCCTAGCACACGGGGGTGCAACGCAATTCAGGTCTGGCACGTCCATCTTGCCATCTGTACCAAGGCGGACGCACAAGGCCCGAAGGGTGCAGCAACCATGCGGGCCAGGTGACAATGCTTGGAGGGAGAGGCATGGCCACTCGAAGGGGCGTGGTCTGTATTCAAATGAACCACTGGGCACTCAGCCTGAGGAAGGAGGCGTCTGGTATGTCCCTCATTAACAGACCTGAATGCCTGGCAGGAGGAGCAGGCATTAAAACCTGGGGACTTGTGCATGACTAAGCTTGTACCAGACTACCCACAAGGATTTCCTATCCGGGAGAACAAAGGAAACATTATAATACAGGCGCTAACGACTCTCCTAGTTGCAGACTGTTTGCACAAGGAGAAACTTCTGATAAGCAAGAAGGAAGAGACTTCACTGCTGGGCTCTGAGGGAGGGGGTGGGTCGAAGCAGCCTCCCCTTTTATGCCCCCGCTTGGCGGCACAAGGACACGCAGGATGCATGTGCCAGCCAGCCAGCTCTGCCGGATAACAGCCTCTGGCCAGGTGCCCAGGGTGTGCACACCCCCACAACGGATTGAATCCCTGCAGAAGCACTTGAGGAAGAAAACAGCTGTTCAGCCATCAACCCTCATCAGCTATTACAGTAAAACCGGTACCTTAGATAAGGGTTGTCTGGGGCCCATGGGCAACTCAGCTCAATAGCTCATGATCAGACCTCTCTCTGCCCCACCCCCCAGCTGATGGAGGAGTGTAGACAGAGCTCAGCCCCACGCTACAGGAGCCTGGTAGGACAGTGGCTGGGTCTGTCCCCAGACCCGCACATCGCTGTGTGGCTCCAAAGCGTGGCGCTCTCACCAGCAGAGGTTGGCCCCGTAAAGGAGATGACCTCCGTCACCTTGTCTACCCACACATCTGGCTTCTCCCTCTTTCCCGGAGCAGGCAGATGGAGCGTAGCTGATAGCGGCAGCGGCAGCTGCCACCCTCTGCCCCTGACACAGCGGCGCTGACGCTTTGTGACACTAGCTGTGTGTAGGGGTGTGACACTCACTGTGTGTGTGTGGAGGGATGTGACAGTGGCTGTGTGCAGGGGTGTGAATCTTAGACAAAAGTGGGGCAGAGGGAGCCTGAATACCTCACTCAGGCCAGGGACCCCGTGAGGGCGACCAGATGTCCACATGTTATAGGGACAGTCCTGATATTTTGGGTGTTGTCTTATAGGGGTGTGATGGTGGCTGTGTGTGTGTAAGGATGTGACACTGGCTATGTGTATATGGGTGTGACACTGGTGCTGTGTGTGTAGGGGTCTGACACTGCATAGGAGTGTATGGGTGGCTGTGTGTGAAGCGTGTGCAGAAGCTTGGTTTTTTATGAGAGTTTTTAATGTTGAGAACGCCTCCTTAATTTTCTTCTCTTTGTTGTATAGTATGCTGATAAGATGGTTCCGGAGTTTCTTTGAGAAAATGTGGCATCATCTGTGGCTGTAGTCTGTGGAGTATGTAGATTGTAATAACCAGTAGTTTGTCTGATGTGTTTGCAATTACACTTGTGTGTGGAGGGGTGTGACAGTGGCTGTGTGTGTGTGTGTGTGTGTGTGTAGAGGTATGATACTGTACAGGGGTGTGACACTGGCTGTGTGGGTGTAGCGGTGTGACACTAGGGAGGTGTAGGGGTGTGACACTGTATAGGTGTTGACGCTGGCTGTGTGTAGGGGTGTGACACTAGCTGTGTTTGGGGGAGTGAAACTGTATAGGGTTGTGACACTAGCTGTGTGTAGGGGTGTGACAGTGGCTCTGTGTGTGGAGGGGTGTGACAGTGGCTGTGTGTGTGTGGGGGG